GCTCTTCTGCATTTCGTCGAAGCGCTGGGAGCCGAGACCAACGTGGAACAATCGGAAAACCGATTCGATCACCGGGAGCCCATGCCCCTGCTCTGCCGTGGGAACTTTACCACAGAAAGGCGCGCGCGGCTCAATGGCACCGTGGCGCACGGAAAAGTTGCTCCGCTGACAGAAGGCTCTCCGCAAACAAACTCATAGCGGGGGAAATGAGTCCGGATCCGGCGAGAACTGGAGTTCCTCCATGTCGGTGGTCAGAAATGAACAAATGACAAACAGAAAAGAGCGGGTGGTTACTATCACGGAGACAGTGATGCTGTAAGACAGTGGTTTACACTAAGACTAACTCCCTCACTCTCCCTCCCTCCTTCTCTCTCCCTCTCCCTCTCCCTCTCCCCCTCTCTCGTTAGTAATGGGCGCTGAGGGGAATTAAAGGCAGAGTAAGGAGAGTGAGAGACAAAGCTGATGCCATTTTCTCTGAATCTAAATAAACCATCTGTTATGAGGAATAAAACAACAACAATAATAAAACACAAAGATGTAGCTCTTTTGTTGAGGTCATGCATTACTTAACACGGGATCAGTCAAGATGTTTTAAGACATTTCTATATATAAAAAAGTGACAAAATGTCTCCATACTGTCATAACAGCAAAAAAGGAATAAATATGAAAGGTTGAAATTGTCCCCAAAACCGTTTACATAACATCGATGTTTCACTCCGTCCTTCTGCAACATCAATACAAAAAACTCTCAATATTAATTTATTTCCAAAACATATCTTATATTAATTTGACTACATTATAACACCTGGAGGTTTTAGCTGGTTCCATTTTTTTACATTTTAATGACACTGAAAACAATATTCTCAATCATTTTCTAGCAGTATTTTTTTTTTCATTTTAAGAAATCAAATTTAAACAACAGCGATAGTTCTCTACAGCTTCTCAACTTGAGTCTAAACGCATCGACGAGTGGTTTCCAGTATTTCCGTATTCTCTTTTCATAGAACCCTAGTGGATGACTTTAGCAACTGCTGCTTCTTTACCTGATTTCAGGATTTAAAAGGTTTGTGAAAAAAGGAAAACTGATTCATAATTTCCATAGAAAAATGAAAACAAGATAAAAAAACAAACAAGAGTTAGAGTACTTGCAGAAACTGTGAATACAAAAGCCAATCAGTGCAGCTCTGCACAGAAAGGAAGCAGAAGAGAAGACATTACAGTGAAGAGACACCTCTGAGGTAGGCATAAGATAAAAATAATGACAGTCTAGGGGGGTGGCGGGGTATCATTTAGTCAGGGACAAAATCAGCTCAGAACAACTTTTTCCACTCAAACATGGAGGCGGGAGTTCTGTGCTTCCAGGACTGAATCTAACAGGAGTGGAAGAAAAAATAGAGGCAAAATATGAGCCTCCAGCCGTCAGGAACCAAACTGAATCTTTGTAATAATTTTAATCCTCAGTGGATGTACAGAGCACGGATTTAATGCCAAAGAACTGACTGAGGGGTTCTCTCAGCCAAAATGATTCTTAACTCACTGATTTGGTGATGATGATGATTTTTTTTTGTTGTTGCTGTAAAACAATTTTAACTTAAATAAAATTCAAGTTGACACCAATCAAGATACACGTTTTCACCTTTATCTTCTTCATTCACTCTTTCTACCCATGTCATTCATACACAATTAAAAAGAAATGTTAAGGTCACAAAAACGCTAAAAAAGATCAGTCATATTTAATAATAAGGAAAGGGACTTTTTGTTTCTCAGTCTGAACATGTGCTTTAAAAAATCACAATGGAAACAGAGTTAAAATGTTTTAGAATTCACTAAAAGTATTTTCCCATTGAGATATGATTGTTTCAAGGACAACTTTTTCTGTGAAACCAAAGCTAGCCTCTCATTAATCTTTAAACCTGCATCATTTGGCTGCTAACGTAACACACAACTGTATCTGCAACAGAAGTGAGTGATTTACGTGGAGAAGAAGAAAATAAGCAGAAAAATGCAGACAGAACAGAGTTTAATATTTAGATTGCTGTAAAATGTGGTCATTTATTCTCTTCGTACACTGTTAAAAAGTTTGTAAATTATAGGGTGAATACATGTCAAACCATGACAGTAAAACTCTAAAACTCTAAAACAGTTTCACACTGTTTATATAACAATGACTCACCGTAAATTAGTAAATCAGGAAAGTACAGTACTTTTAACATTTTTTGTCTTGAAAAAATACATTGTCTTGCTCTAATATTGATTAACATTCAGTACTGTGATTTTTGCATTTATTTGCCCCCAAAAATAGTTTTTCACAGTTAAATATATTTACTGTTGTAGGCCATACATTTTTTTTACAATTCAATACTGTAATTTTTGCATTCTTTTTGCAGTTTCACAGTTAAATATACACACTGGTGTGCTGACAACAGAAACGCCATATTTGCAACAAGATGTGATTCTTGCATTTATTTCAAAATATACTTTGTACCTGTCAAATTGAGGTACTTGGTGTTAATAAACAGACAAATACTTTAATATTTATGACAACTACAAATTGATTTTTTCAGATATGATAATATATGTAAGTTAATATACTTTTTAAAAAAATATAAATACTTATTATAACGTCTGGCCGAGCGTTACAATGACGACGAGGCGTTCGTCTCAGACAGGTCTTTTATTGAAAACCCTTAACAGTTACTGTCGGCTGTAACTACGCCACATAACAATAATAACTTCTCTACATGCTCTTCTTTCCTTCCACTGGCTCCTCACTCCGTCACATACACACAGACTCACTTGCACCCAATCACCGACCTACCTATATACGTGCGTTCACTGACAGTCTGGAATCACAAGAGTTAACACTACAGAGAACCGGTCTATTTCACTATACATGGATTACATTAACAATTTCCCTTTCAAATGTTTTCGAAGTTTGAC